CATCACATCAAGACTGCCTTCAAAACAGACAGAAAAATAGCAGCCATCCTTAGAAACCCCAAAGATAAAATTGACCTGGAAAACCAAGGCATATATGAAGTCCCCTGTGGATCATGCCCGGCCACATACATTGGACAGACTAATAGAAGAATAAGTACCCGCCTGGATGAACACAAAAATGCAGTCAAAAAGCTGGAACACACTTCCTCACTAGTCCAACACATGGAAGCCACAGGTCATAGCATCAACTTCAATGGCACCAAAACCCTAGCCACTATAGAAAACCCCAGCCACAGAATCATCAGAGAAGCCATAGAGATTGAAAAAAGACCAGAAAGCATGAATAGAAGAGATGATTCCACCAGACTGTCAATCATTTGGAAGCCTGCATTCACAAACAAAAAACATCTCCACACCACTAGCCAGACAAGCACCTGGGCACAGATTCCCCCGATACCTCCAACTCAAACACACCCCAACCAGGCACCCAGATAAAACCTAGCTTCCTAACTAATGATAGCCATCCATTTACCCGGAGCCAAACTGCACTAAAGGCCTCCAATAAAGTAACACAGTGTTGCCAGCCAATCAAGATACAAAAAGAGCCACAAAACAAACAGAAGATATTAGAAACACCAATCAAGCAGAACACAGCAAATTCCAAGACCAATAAACACAGACCAAGACTCCCAACCAATCAGGATGAAGAAAAAACCATTCTGGCACAGCAATAGGCTGCCCCAAATTTAAATCTGAAACCACTGTAAAAGTCTGGCTCACAGATGAACACTATACAGAAGCCTGATGATGGCAGATGAGATTCTGCCGAAATGTTGCTACAACTTTAAAAGCACAACTATAATGACGTGGGAAAATACCCGAACAAAGCTGAATACCCTACATGTAAGTACCTGCGAAAACTTAAGAAAACAAATATCAGACCTCTACGGGGAGGAAATAAACAGCCAGACCAAAACCTATGAGAAGCTAGAAGTTAAAAGAGCAGGAATACTATGTGACCTCAAATTCCTACGCAGCTGCAGAGACAACAATGCAACATCAACCTGCTTCAAATTAACATTTCATCACAGCACAGCAGCTACTAAACGTATCCTGAAAAGAACTAAAATGGCTCTACTCAGGAACGAGCTCCACAGAAAGAGATTCCAATTGGATCAGTTAAACAAAGATTTGCTAACACTACACCTGGAATTGAGCAGCAAAATCCACCCTCTACTTTGGGACAAGATAAAACAACTTACAACTTGGAGAACTGAAACTGAAACCACTTACAAAAATGACAAACTCTTGAAGAAACTAAAGAAATTAGAACATGACAAGAAAGCCCCCAACAACTCACAACAACACCTGAAACAATTAGTATATAACGTTTCCAACAGAGAACTCACCAAAACAGAAACAGATGTCCTAACCAAAGGATTCAATTATGCTATAGCACCCAAAAAAATCCCCACAGAATTCATCATATGTGCAGTAGAATCCAGCCTAACTAAATTAAATACAGATGAAGCTGATAGAATAAGACACCACAGACGAACATAATACAGAAGCCTGATGATGGCAGATGAGATTCTGCTGAAACGTTGCTACAACTTTAAAAGCACAACTATAATGACGTGGGAAAATATATATATATATATACCTATCCCTAAATACTATTCTGTTTTTGGACAAAGCAATTACACAAAGTGTTGAAAAGAGGTGGAAGTGTAGAAGTAATAAATAAACTGGAAGCAGGAGATAAAGGAAAGAATGAATCTAAAGTTATCTGGAAGATAAGTCATGGCAATTGGACTTCTCTTTTTGGTATGAAACTTAAGCAGCAAAATGTTTCAAACCGAAAAGAAAAGAAGTCCAATTGCCATGAGTCAACTCTACGTAGATGACCGAGAATCTTCATCAACAAAACTAAAGTTAGTTTACACCAGCATCATTCATCATACATCGTTCACATTCATACCCCTTATGTTTGCAAACAATCCTCACTTCTACCACTACATTTCATCTGTAGCATTTTGTTTAAAAAAAAATCTCATCTCATTCGTTTTGAGGATCTCATTGGTTCTTTCCTCCTTGGTCACCCCCTTCTTAGTCCATTCAGCCGCATCAGAGTTGTGTTTGACCTGGGAGGGGCAGGGGTGTGTGGCAAGGATGGGCATGGCCAGCATGATGTCACTTGTTCTGGGAGTGTGTGCCTGTGGTGGCCATAGTGCTCTGCCAGCAAAAATGGGCTTCTGAGCTCTGTTTTTGGCTGGTAAGGCCTCCTGCAATCCTCTGCCAGTGGAAACGGAGCTCGGGGGGAACCACATGCGGGCCTCGTAAGCTCCATTTTCGACTGGGATGGCCTCCTACCATCCTCTGCCAGCGAAAAGAGAGCTTGTGAGGGCTGCACGTGGCCCTCGCAAGCTCTGTTTTCACTGACAGAGGCATCATAGGCTGGTCCTTCGCTATTTCCAGGGCAGCCCCATGGGTCAGATCTAAGCACCCTGTGGGCCAGATCCCACCCCTGGACCTTGAGCTTGACACCCCTGGATTAGTTTAACAATTTGATCCTTATTTATTCTTTCTGTACGACTGGCCCACCAGCATTATTTTTTGTAAGCTAGATTTTCTACACTAGAAACTAAAATAGTGCTAGAAGTTCTCTTGAAAGCCAAAACACTGTTGCCTGCATGCCATCACTGGAAGAAACAAACTGGCCTGACAGGCACTCAGAGTAATATTAAATAGATTCAACCGTACACGACTATGTATGACATATTACCTACAGTGATTCTAATTATAATGAACCAAAACTTGTTCAACTGAATGTTATGCCAAAACAAAGCAAAACACCAATAGTAACAGATTAAGAATTAAGGAAACAAAAAAAAAAGTTATTTCTCATTGAAACTATCATTATATTTTTTTTCAACTCTTCAAACAGAGACAGTATTATCTGGTGCAAATAAGCGGTAGCAGAAGTAGAGATGTGAGCACATGCAGTCCCAGAACTGGTTCTGAAACTGTCAAAATCTTTGGGTGGAGGCACTCAATGAAGCCTAAAAGATAAATCGTGGCTTGCACACACACATTCCAAAAGAGAAAGACAAAAATGTGGTTTTGAATGTGCGGTGTCACTTAGTAATGGAATTACTGGTCTCAATTGTGGCCAGTAAGTGAGTTTGGACATCATACTAAACCATTATTTATTGATTTAAGTCCCACTAGTTCACACATTGCATTAACCCATCAACCAGAAAGAGAAAGTTTATTCCATGTACTGAACTGAATCCAAAATAAATCAATTGCTCATTGTGACTTAGAAAGACTTATTCCTTTAATAAGTTAACTATGACCAGTTCATTTATCACTATCTGCTAATATAAATGTTTTTGCTTATTTATTCATTTACATGTGTATCTCTACACCATTATCTTGATGTAAGCCACAATTCCTTAAAACAAGATTAAATAATAAAAACATGTAAAGTAAAGGGGTTAATTGAAGACCCCACTGGGTAGAGGAGAAGGAGAAGGAGGAAGAGGGCAGAGGAGGAGGAGAAGGAGGAAAAGGAAGAGGAGGAGGAAGAAGGAGAAAGAATATTGAGAACCCGCATAATAGTAATTGCAATGCTATAAATAGGCATGGATAAGAAGCCCTGGCAGTAAGGACTTCTGGTGTCTGACACAAGAAATAGAAGCACCAACCTCATCTTCAAAAGGATGTCATAAAAGAAAAAGCCTTCCCCCTCCCCCGTCCTTATTTGCTAATCCACAAGTAGATAACCTTTCCTCCGTTTAAATTTTGTGCATCTTTCTTTCTGCGTATGTATGCTTAACGAGCACTCATTAAGCAACTTCTTTACACGCATTATAAATCTAAAGCAGAAGGGCAATGCGGACATGCAGCCCTTCTAATCTTCCTTATATATTCAGGATGGAATCTATTGAAAGTGATACCGTGCAGGGCTCTCCAAACTTGATAGCTTTAAGACTTGTGGACTTCAACTCCCAGAATTCCCCCTCCAGTCATGTTAGCTCAGGAATTCTGGGAGTTGAAGTCCACAGGTCTTAAACTTGCCAAGTTTGAAGACCCTTGTGATTGAGGAACGGCTTGCCTCACTTGTTCCATTGAGTTCGCCCATAAACTGCCCATCATTTACAATCCTAGACTTTATACCTTACAATTTTATAGCAATTACGTGTCATCAACCTTGTTCACCTGTAAGCCTATGCTGCAATGAGCTTTGTTAAACTTACTGTAATGTGTGGTCTCTCACTCATATAATAGCTTCAGATTTTGTGTGAACCAGACCAAAAATATCCTTGTGTTTGTGTATCAACACTGCTCTTAGAGCCTAATTGTATTACAATGTAGTGTTAAAAAATAATACAAATATAAGTTTTAGTGGAAGCATTACCTGAACTAGTACAAAGAACCTTTTCTTCCATCTCTTCCAGACATTTTTGCCGATGGCCCACAAATATCTATAAAAGCAGCAAGGAAAACTTCATTAGGAGTTTTTAAAAAAACAAATAAATAAGAATCTCATTGTTTGAATTGGGTAGTTTTTACTGGAAACTAATAAAACACTGGTTTTCGCAAAAAATGTTGTAAATTGTGTTGTGACTCTGGGATCCTGCAAACAGCCATAAATTGTCAACTAGTTGCCAAGCCCCAAAATCTGATCACATGACCACAGGGGTAGGGGAGTGGTGATCTTTTAACTTGATGACTGGCTTAACTGCTAAGGTGTTTACTTCTTTGGAAAAGAGAAGAGAGCTAATCTTTTAATAGTCTCCTATAGGAGAAGCAGAAGCTGGGGGTGGAGTCAAAAGAAAGACTCTACACAGTGACTCTAAGACTGATTCCTCTTCAGATTCCACCTCTAGGTTCTGCTAACCCTTCTACATCTTGCTAGTCTCCATTTCCAATAATCGGTTGTTCTACACCAGGGGTGTCAAACTCAAAGCCCAGAGGCCAGACCCGGCCCACGGGGTGCTTAGATTTGGTCCACGGGGCTGCTCTGGCGACAGTGAAGGACCGGCCCACAGTGCCTCTACTGGTGAAAATGGAGCTCAGGAGAAGGTTGCAGGAGGCCATTGCAGCCTAAAATGGAGCTTGGGAGCCTGTTTTCACTGGCAGAGCACTCAGGCCACCACAGGTGCCCCCAACACGAGTGACATCAAGCTGGCCACCCCCACCCCAGCCACGCCCCCACCCCCTCAAGGTCAAACACAACCCTGATGTGACCCTCAATGAAATCTAGTTTGACACCCCTGTTCTACATTAAGAAAGGGGCATTGATGTTCCTTCTTTTTCTTTGCTATGAAAAGAACAGTGTGGAATCTGTCTGGAATCTACCATGATATTCCTTCTGACAGGTACTATTTCACTTTCAAACTTCATTAGATTACTTTCTGTCTCAGACAAGAAAAATTACTGGCATTTATTAAAAAAAATTGTAAAGGACCATAGTTGGAAAATGCCAGGAGTGATCACACTCTGATTACAATTTTGTTCAGCCCCATCAGGTGTGACAACACAGCTGGTGTTAGCTAAGAAAGTATGAGTGATTAAACTAAATTAAATTAGAATGTGCTGATAGTCATTTTAAAACAGATAAGACAAATTTGTGGAACATAGACATATGAATGGCTATTAATCATGAAAAGCCATATGGAGTCTCCATGACGTTTGGTTCCTAAATGCTATTTGGAAAGACTAGAGCATGGTTATTGTATTATATCCTTCCAGTAAGCTTCATATTTATTTATCTTTATTACTTATAATTTTTTATATTGCTCATCATACTTGTATCCCTCTGGGTAGTTTACAAATGGAAAAAATCATATAAAAGCTATATGATTTGGTGGCACAGTGATTAGAATGCAGTATTGCAGGCCAACTCTAATCATAGCCTGATGGGGCTCATGGTTGACTTGGCCTTCCATCCTTCTGAGGTCAGTTAAATGAGGACCAAGATTTTGGGGGCAATATGGTGACACTGCTCATAGAATGCTGTAAGCACTACTGCTATCGTTAAAAAAACAAATGAAAAAAAGAAAACAGATTAGAACAAACTTAAAAAGAACAATTGCAAAATTAAAAGGCAGAGGAAGAACCTTCGGCCCACCAACTACCCTTAGAGTTGCATGACATTCTTGAATTGCCAGGCCATCTGGCAGAGCCCGGCCTTAATGCTCTTCCAGGAGGCCAGGAAAGTAGGGGTCTGCCTCACCCCCAAGGACAAGATGTTCCCTAGGGTGGGGGGGGATGCAGCAGAGAAGGCTCTTGTCATGCCCCTGGCAGAGTCTGAATCTGAGAAGGAAGCCGGACAGCTGACAGGGAATGGGTGTGTGGCTCCATTGGCTGTGGAGGAGGTTGGGGAAGGGCAAAGTCCGGCTTTATACTTTAATTGACAAGACCAGAAGTATGCTCACCTGACTAGATCGTGTATTATGGGCAGAAACTATGGAAAATAGGAAGCCCCTTGGATAACCAGGCTGTATATCATGAAGGGCTTTATTAGGTAATAACCAGCACCTTGAACTGGAGCCAAAATTCATGTAGCAGAATTGTTATGCATCATGTACGGGGGAATGAAGCTAAGTTTCTGTCTGCATTTGCTCCAGCCAAGCTCCAGCCAAGCAACAGTGCTTCCTACATACACTTGTCCAAGAGTAGGTTCAAAACACTGTTTCTTAGGGCAGTAAATGTTTACAGCTCCAGAAACCTGAGAAGAGATGGGTTCATTCATTCATTCATTCATTCATTCATTCATTCATTTTCCCCTCCCCCCCATAGTTGACTCATGAGCATTCATGCCAATGTTCCAGGTGTCTAGCAAACTGAGCCATAACCTGGCATTTTTAAGAACGTGCTGACATCTGTACGCAACTTCATCCCACCCAGATTTTTAGTCTACAAAAGTATGACTGTGTAAGAGAAAAAGAAGACAACAAGCATATTAGGAAGGAAGACAGGATGTTTGAAATGTGTGATTCATACAGGCGAGCAAATTGTAGCTAAATGCCAGGATGACAAGCTACAGTAAACAGCCCATTGTGCCGTGATTCCTGCCTGAAGCTTGGCCCAGAGATCGGCAGGGAGCTTGGTAGAAACCAAGAAGAAGAGCCGTCATACTGAATCGGCACTTAATCCCAACAAGAGCAAAAACTTTTGGTGGGAGGTCAAATCCACTTTATAAAACTTCAAGACATTTACTTGTTATAAGGGGTAACAATCAAAGGCTTGTTCATACAACTACATCAATTTACAAAAGCTAGGGGCTTCCAATTTGTCGGCTTCGCGAGCGGCAGGGATTCACGATACTGCGCGATCCCTGCTGCGCTAGCCGTTTTTGGTGCTCCGATCCGGACGGGTTCGGAGCTAAGGCTGCCCTGCAGGGGTAGCTGAAGATAGGGGGGATCCGGAGAGGGGTTTGGGGGTGTTGCAGACCCCCTCCCCGGCCGGCAGAACCCCCTTTTCCCAAGACGGTGCAGCGGCGGTCTGTAATGGCCGCCACAAAGAAGCCGGCAGCTGGGTAAGAATGCGCAGGAGGAAGAGGAGAAAGCCTTTGAGAGTGAAAGTTTTCTTGGTTGACCCAGGACTCTAAGATACATTTAACACAATTCCTGGAAATTATGGCTTTTTGAATGATTCTTTCCACAAGAGAAAATAAGCGGCAATTTTGAGGTGCTGAAAGGAAAGTTTACTCTCCTTCCCTACGGAATCAATAAGTGGATACTGAGAAACCTGTCTTTTTTAGGCAAAAACTAGCTTTATGTGATAAGTGGGAAGGGAGAGGACAAAAAATATATTCATATGTTAAGATTTGTTGGAGGAGATGCCTTAAGGATTTGAAGACTGAAATATAATTCCAATAAGGCTTTAAGATACAGATTTGGACTTTCTTTTTCTTTTTTTGATTGATACTACCCCAGGAAGAGAAAGTGAGAACTTTGTCTTGGCTTGGATTGATTGAGGACTTTGGGATTGTTCTATTTTTTTGAAATATCTTGGTTGGTGCAAGAAGAAAGAGGGGAAAAGAAAAAAGAAAAGAAAAGATTTATAATGGCTTTTTTTGCTGAGGAACTGAGAAAAGAATATGAGCAAACAAAAACAGATGGCAAAGATGGTGTGAAAGAAGCCTTCCTTTTTTTAGAAATGGCGCTTGTTAACTATCAACAAACACTGCAACAGATGGAGGCAGTAGATGAAGAAGAAGAAGAAGAAGCCATCTTTAATGAATTTCAAAATTTGACTAAGAAAGAAGGAAGGAAGAAAGGAAGGAAGATGAAGGATTTAAGATTAAAAAAAACACTTAAGAAAGAGAAAAATAAGGTGCAAAATCAATATAATGATAGTAAACAAAAGAAAAAAGGAACACAACAGAGAAGGGAAGCCAGCAAGGCAGAGGCTAGGAGAAGGGGGGGTAGGAAGGTCTGGTGGGGGAAGAAAGAAAGGGAAAAGGTGGAGAAAAGCCACAAAGTTTTGAAATTAGATGGGAAAAGAGGAATCTTTTTTTAGGGACAAAGGGTAAAGTACAATTTCTTTAAAAAAGATTTTGCAAGGTACATAAGATGGTATTTTGTAGCATTTGTATTAGAAATAGAAAATTAGAATGGTTTAAGAGTTAATAAGAGATTAAAATGTTGAAATGTTTAGTAATGATTGATTTTAAAATTTAATAAAATATTAAAGGGAATGTTTAGAATATTGAGTTTTAATTAAAGAGTTTAATATGACTATGGTATTGATGTTATTATAAAATTATTATAGTAGCATTTGTTTTTGGAAAAGGCAATGGGAATGTTATAAGATTCAATATTTAGATCTATTATTTAACTATGTATTTAATCATTTTGGATTTATTATTATTCTTTTATTAAAAAAAAAATTAGTAGATAGAATGTACCAAGCAGAATCAGATTGGGTATTAGGTGTTATTTTAAATGTTAATCTAATTAATTTAGGGGGAAGATAGAAAGGCATCATACTCTGATTAGTGATTTCAGGAGAAATTCTTTCTTTTTATTATAAGGAATGAGATAGAGGGATAATAAAGAATGGACAAAAGATACAAATATAATGACTCAAATTAAGATGGATTAAATAAGATAGAATTAAGAAGAGTGAAATGTGTGGAGAAGCTAATATAGAAGATATAGAATGGTAAATAAAATAGGTAATGATATGTAAGATGAACATGAATATAATTGAAGTCCATGTAGAGAGAGGTACCTGGGGCCAAGTTACTTTCCTAAAAGATTTTTTATATGTTTGTGTGTTGTGTGTTTATGTTTCTGGGAGAATTAATAAAACCTTGCAGAAATACAGAATGAGAATAATGGTAACCAAGTCAGAAAGAAATAGATGAAATAATAATAGTGAAATTGAATGAGAGTAAAGAGAAGTAAAGAGAAATTGGATAAGAGGTATTTGTATGCTCATATGGAAATGGTTTAAAATAGAATTATATTGTATAAAATAAGGTTTTATTTGACTTGTAAAATATATAATGGAAAAAGGTTTAAGTATGTAATGGTTAATGATGATTTGTTTGTCTTTAAAATTAATAAAATTTGTTTAAATTTTTTTTTTACAAAAGCTAGGAGCATGGAACCAACTCAGGGCAATAGGAAAGTATGTTACAATAAAGTGTTTGTACACTGTGGTGTGTCCAGTCTTAGAAAACAAAAGAATCCTCATATAATCCCTCATTCAGAACCAGCTTCAACCTGTCAGTGTCCTTCAAGGGCTCCCCCATGTATTGACCAAAGTATGTATGATTGTGTAAAGTGCCTCTCAATTGTGGTATGGGCACAACTGGTACACTAGGTGAGTTTATCTGAAGGTCTTCCTGGCTGTGGTTGCCTCCTGCTCCCAAAAGTCCCTTCAATTTGGGGCCAGTCCAGAAGAGGAAAATGTGGCCTTGTTCAGGACTAAAGAGAGGCATCATTGGGGTTTAAGCTTCAGCCTATCCCTTTCCCTCCAGGCCTGCACAGTCTCCATCATTAAATCAAAAACCTTGACAACACATTCAGAATATTATATGCATAATTATGACCGCTAAATCAGGATATTCAAAGAAACAGGTTATCATTATTTATGAATACTTATGAATACTCTGATTATACAATAAGGAATTTGCTATTCTAAAAATTCAACGCAAGAAATAGAATACAGGGAAATTACATCAATTTATATTTTATTGTTCCTTTTTGAGAATAATAATATTCTTAGTTCACATGAAGGACAAAGACTAGAGATTAATTTCAGAAGACATTTGTTTTAAAAGATTAAGAGAGGTAAAAGCTGCCAGTGAATAAAATGTCAATCATTCTCAAAAAGATGAAAGTTAAATCCCATGGATTCAATTTCTAATACAAACTCAGGGAGGAGAATGAGATATTTCCCCCCCGCCCCATTTATTATAATACTGGAAAATACGGTAACTTGCAATCACTGTACTTTGCACACACAAAAAAAGTAACTTACCCAGAATGTTTCATATTCTGAGGTTTATCCATTCGGACAGCAAGCTTGATTTTCAGGTCTTGATCAGGACAGTTTTTAGAAACAGCCATTTTGTGCCATTCAGATTGTTTGGGACTATTTGGTGTCGGATGAAGAACAACCTGAAGACAAAGTTTTAACAGGCAGAGATTTACAGTGCACTCATGTCCAATTCTATGCAGATGCTATGAATATACATTTAATCTATCTTCCTTCCCCCTCCCCCTAGTAAGAGATTTCTCACCCTCCTCTCTCAAACTCCTCACTTCCTTGTTGCCTGATTTCTACTGCCTTTGGGTAGTTAACCAAATAGTTGCTTTCTAGTTATAAAAACAATCCATTCTTGTAAAAATAAGTAATAGACTCCATAGCACTTTATCCTGAATAATTCCCTCATCAAAGCTCCATCGTTTTGTTTTAGCATCCTAGGACTTTGGTTTATAAATCCTGACACACTGTTTTCAGTAGTGTATTTGTAGGTAAATGAGGACTTAAGTTAGCAGCAGAAATTCAATTGCTCAGTTAGATTATAATAGACCTTAAAAATAGATATATATATTTTTTGTTTCCACTCTACTCGGTTATAGAATAAATACTGTAAATCCATGCAGACAGTCTCATTTCTCATCACCACGTACAATAAAATTACTTCAGATTAGAGCTAGAACTTAATAACTTATACAAAAGCTGGGTGGAGGGAGTTTTTAACTGAAGAACAGTGAGCTATCTGACAGTCTCCAGTTAAGGTTATTAAAGTTAAATTTAAGCCCTATAGACGTATGGGGTTTTTTTGTGTGTCCCACACAAGTGGGAAGAGTAAGTGAAGAGCAGAGGAGGCTGAGTAGAGGCAAAGCAGAGCGCAAAGGGAATTTATATCTGTCACCAAGATAAATGCTGCTGAAGGCGCTATGGGAAAAAAAATGACATCGACATGGAGGAAAAAGAAGAAGAAACGCTCAGCAGCGCCATATCACTGGGGACCTGTTACATAATAAAAAAAATGAAAGTTGGCATTATCTGCTTTAGCAGCTGCAGGAAGAAATGGACAGGCCACACTTAATTAAACTGCAGCACTGCTGCTAACCTGAATATGTTGAATTATCCACTGGTCAGGAGAGATGATAAATGAAATTCATTCCATAGATCCACAGATTCAGAGTTACTCTGGCAACCTTGCCCTACCTGAGGTAGATTGTTAACAGTCTCAGAAGCAATCCCATCTCTGCTCTAAAATGAGATCAGCATTGATTTGCACTCATTTCTGGGAAATAAATTATTGGGATTCTCCCCTCTCCCCTCCTCTTCCTAATAGCTTGGCCTGGCCAATGGAAGAAGACACTAATACTTCTATTATTCATTTGATGTTTAAGGTAAAGTAAAGGTTCCCCTCGCACATACGTGCTAGTCGTTTCTGGCTCTAGGGGGCAGTGCTTATCTCCATTACAAAGCCGAAGAGCCATTTCTGTCCAAAGACGTCTCCGTGGCCAGCATGACTAAATGCCAAAGGCGCACAGAACTCTGTTACCTTCCCACCAAAGTGGTCCCTATTTGTCTACTTGCATTTTTACCTGCTTTCGAACTGCTAGGTTGGCAGAAGCTGGGACAAGTAATGGGAGTTCACTCCATTACATGGCGCTAGGGATTCTAACCACTGAACTGCCGACTTTTCTGATCAACAAACTCAGCGTCTTAGCCACTGAGCCACTGCGTCTCCTTTGATATTTACCCCACTTTTATTATTTATAAAGAACTCTAGGTGGTGAGCAGACCTCTTTCCTTCTCCTATTTTCCTGACAACCAATAAACCTGGGAGGTGGGTTGGGCTAAGAGGGAATGACAGGCCCAAAGTCACCCAGCTGATTTTTCGTATCTAAAGCAGGACTAGAATTCACCATCTCCTGGTTCCTAAGCCAGCACCTTAACCACTGGACAAAACTAGCTATGGGGGTGGGGGAGAGTCTTTCTCAGGATACATAATCTAAGGTTCACCACTCAGCTGCAATATTTTAATTTCCCTTAGTGAGCTGAAACAGCATTAATTTCATGTTAACTATATAGGATTGGTTTCACATCCTTCCGCTCCCTTCCAATCCTGCATTCTTTCCAATAGTTTAATGATGTTTATTTCAGGGATGGCTTGTGACTGAGATGAGAAAGTTCACCTTTTCCCTACCTCTTTTGGCAGTAATTTAGTTTCATCTCTGATTTCTTTGGAACTGTGTCTGAATTTTTTTGGGACTGTGTCTCATCCGTTTGGGGAAAACATGCAACCCCTGTGTTCACTTTCATGCAAGGTTCTCAGTCAGCCTTCTCTTTGAAATGCTTTACCAGTGGGGAAATTTCAGAAATGTAGTTCAGGCCTTACTTTCAGCCTCCCGCAGGGGTATTGTGTGTGTGTTTGTGTGTTTGTGTGCACGTGTTCGCTGTGCTTTCATAATTGAATATTGACATTTGAATTTTTCAAAGAGCTGTCCAAACTTTTCTTCCTTCTTCAAGAAATGTTTTGCCAGCTCTAATTCTACCGCAGCATATTTATTTATTGAATGTCCTGTACGTGCTGCCCATCTCACCAACAAGGGACTCTGGATCCTTACAGGTAATTAAAAAGCTAAAGGTGAAACCATTAAAATTAAGAAGGATTACATAAGAATTAAGACCAAGGGGACAGACAGCATGGGGATAAGTTACGCCAAAAGTAAGAGATGCAATGTTGTCATTCCTATCATTGCATTATTTGCTGGTGCTGTCAACAGTTGTGTCTGTCCTTACCCGCCCAAGTTCTTTGTCTTCCAAAGCCAGGACACCGGTACTCTCCGTAAACAGCTTCACTTTCACAGCCGGAAGGGCGTGTGTCGTGGAAAAGTCACCCTGAGTTCCCCAGCTGTGAAAACATCCACAAGAATGACATTGGGGAAAAAAAGAAGCAGCAGCAACAGCTTGCCACCTCAGCACTGTCACCTTGGAAGGGAAAAGGTTAACACAAATGTCACCAACTGTCACATACCGTAAAATAAAAAGCAACAGGAGTGCCATTGTGCTAATTAATTAATGTGGTGAAAAAACCTGCAAGACAACAACTCAGCAATGTTGAAAAACTTCCTCTGGAAAGGCAACAGACTAACACGAAGCCAATGGTAGCGAACTACATGCTTGCACTTGGGTTTATTTTGCAACTCAGTAAAAAGAAAACTGATGAAAATATTGCATCAAAACTTTCCTTGTAAGTTGCAGGCCCACTTCAGTTAGTTACCATGATCAATAAATACTACCCATTTCCAATGTACAGGATGTTTATATTTTGGATTCAAACCCTAGAATTAGACAAAAAATAAATATCTTTATATGTTGATTCCATTACTTGAATAGTTTGTTGCATTTCGTTAAAGATCCAAAGCTATATTTATATACAACATGGGTTATTTGGGTGATACAGCTAAGGGACTGTGTGGTCCATGGTACTCTCTGAGCTTGTTTGTTTTCTTGCAGATGTTTCATTACCTAACTAGGCAACATCACCAGTGCTAGAAGGGAGCAGGGCTTTGTTCTCTCTTTACATATTAATGGCTTGTCCCATTGGTGGAAGTATTGTTGAAGGTTCTTTGGTTGAGCTGTTGTTTATTGTTAGCTTGTTTGTCTGAGATGTTACCTGGTTGGATAATGAAACATCTGTAAGAAAACAACTACTCAGAGAGTAGTTCTGACCCAGGCTTCTCAAGCCCCACTCAACAGCCTACTTGTGAGGAGAAACTCCATTTTATTTAGAAAGGCAGGAATACATGGTATTCATATGCTCCAGGTCACATATCCTTAGGTGATTTACAAGCTGTAGCAGTCTCTGAGTTCCCCCGCAGGGAGCCTCAATTAGCACTTCAATCCCAACACATGACTTCAGCAATAGAGTGGTCAATGTCTGGAATACTCTACCCGACTCTGTAGTTTCTTCCCCAAACCCCAAAAACTTTAACCTTAGACTGTCTACTATTAACCTCACCCCTTTCCTAAGAGGTCTGTAAGGGGCGTGCATAAGCGCACCAACGTGCCTACCGTCCCTGTCCTATTGTTTCTCTTATTCTTCTTTTATTTTTCTTATATGTATGTACCCATTTCATGTATTCACAACTATGTATACACTTATACTTATTATCTTGTAAACAATTGGCAAATCAAATAAATAAAAATAAAATAAAATAAATAACAAAGTGTCCTGATCAACCTAGGTAGTGGCCAGGAATCCACTGGAGGGAACTCTTCTGGAGCATGAATGGTTGTCTCCAACTACCATGCCTCCCACACCCCTCCTCCTTATATCCCAGCCAGGAAGGAGCTTGTAAACATCTCCTTCTTTTCCTGGAGAGCTGGCCCTCAGTCCTACATTGCTCTCCTCTCTGCACTTCTCTGCACATAGGCACATCTGAGACAGGGCCCAGCTGTTCCTCCCGCTTGCTCAGCTCAGCCCCCCCCAAACAGCTGTTTTCTCCACCTGAGCATGTATAGATGGGCATCTGGTTCTGAGACCTCCTGTTCCTCAGAGTCTTCCACAGATCCCAATGGTAATCCAGGCACCCCCTCCATCTCCTCTGACTCATCTGACTCGACTGCCATCTCCACTGGCAGTCGATGAACCACAACAGCACCAATGACCAGCAGTTCAACCTTGAGCTACAATATTCTTTTCTATCAGTAGTAATGTGGGCTTATGGGAGTGATGATAGATATCACAACTGGGAACAAGGGTCTCCATATCATTGAAATCAGTGTTCATTTACCTAAATTGCTTTCTCACTGTTCTGTTTTTGAAAACAGGTGAACCTTAGCTTTAGAACAGAACCCTGGTGGTGTTAATTTTTCATTTGACCTCTCTCTGCTGATCAGTGCTATTGTAATATATATCAGCATTTGCTTGGTGTTTTGATCTTTCTATTGTATGCTGCTTGGAGTCATTTAGGAATAAAATAATTAAATAAACCATAAATACTGCAGATAATTTGATGAAATCAAATGAAATGATGAACAAACTCAAGCAAAACAAGGAGACAAAGATACAAATAAAGAATCTTTGGAAAAGTTCAAAACTTCTCATTGATGACCGAGGGCTCATCACAGGCCTTTTCAGAATCTATCTCCTTAGTTATGTCTAGCAGGCTGAAAAATAATTTGCTTTCATTTGTGCTACTGTTCCTTAATATTCATAAAATATAAAATACAGAATAGTTAAAGCACAAACAAAAGGAAAAGTAAAAATAGCAAATCAGCAACATTATTAAACCATCAGCAAGAGAGAAATATAAAAAAGATGAATTAGTTCAAGAAGTAAAATGTCAGAGCGGGAGCTTAAAAAGTCATGACTGATTAAAAAATGTAATGAAATAAGGATTCTGCCTTCCCTATAAAACTCAAAAAAGAGAAAACAATATGTGAATGGGACATGGCTGGATAGTAGATTTGAATGTGAGAGCCCATTATTGATACTGGGACATAAAACCAGATCATTTTTAAAAATGTATTCTGATTACACTTCCATAGTTTTTCTGCCCCTTATCATTTTCCTAGGAATTTTTTTAAATATATAAATCATTTTTATTACAATTTTCAAAAATACAAATCTTTATATTTGTGACATTTTGGCATCAACAAATACATATATCTTATATACCTTATTATATACATATCTACATTAATAATCTCTTAAGGTCTCTTACTTTATTTACAATAATCCATTCTTCCTAATCTTTTATCTATTTTTTAGCCACATTTATCCCATATTGCATAATATTCAGAATCCTCCTTGTCTTTCATTTTCAATGTGAGCTTATCCATTTCCGCGCATTCCAATACTTTTTGTATGACTAGATCTTCTGAGGGGATATTAGCTCCTTTCCACAATTGTGCAAAAGCTATTCTGGCTGCTGTCAAAATATGCAGTATAATATGTTTTAATCTTTTTAGGGTAGCACTTTTACTTATGTGCCACTTCACAATGCTTTACAACTCACTCTAAGTGGTTTACATATTGCCCCCCAACAATCTGGGTTCTCATTTTACCGACCTCGGAAGGATGCAAGGCTGAGTCAACCTTGAGCCACTCATGATCGAACTGCTTGCAAATGGCAGCGTTAGCTTGCAGTACTGCATTCTGACCACTGCACCACCAGGTTTCTAAACTTATTCTAAACTATTTGAGCTGTAAAATGGAAGAGCATATAAGATCCCAATTTAGAACTTTTTTTGGGTAGAATAATTGAAATTGAATTTATTAAACTCTTTTTTTAGCTTTGGAGAGAACACAAGGTACTTTTCATTATGGCTCTGATAGATTTTCAATAGTCTTCACAGCTCATTTAATTTTGTTTCTCGAAATTTCAAGCTGTGTTACCACTGTTTCTTTTTTAGTAAATGGCACATTTGTTCTCATGAAGGTGGGCTGTTCTCTCCTCTCCCTGACTTAATAAAACACATATAGGGCTTCGCTTTCTAATATTTTCACTTTTGAAAAGCATTTTTACTTAACTTTTGGCTTCAGACTGTCTTGTCACTCAACTCTTACTTTGGATTAAACCTCTTTGAACTCAGACCTATGAGAAAGACATTTGAGAGCTGGTTGTATAGTTCAGGAAAAGCCTTGATTTCCACAACACAATGCTCTTTTAACCCTTTTCTCATTCCCAGGACTAATCCTAGTGTAGTGCATAGGTTTTTTTGTGACATGCACAGGCACTGGGCATATGAACAAGGGCAGGTTACAGCACTATGGACACAGGTTTGACTACAGTTCCTGGAGGAAAGAAAATATATTACTGTTCTTTGATTCAACTTCAGCCTACCATGAATGCACATCTAACCAGGGGTGGGCTGCTGGGGGTTCGCAGGGAGGGCTGCTGGGAGAGCCCCTAGCTAAGATTCTGTGCAGTTTGGAGAACCCCCAAATCCCACTCCTGGATGGCCCCACCTACCCCGCCCCCCTAGGAGTCCCCACATGGCCCATTTTAGATGCAGCTAAGTGCAGGGCACGTGAGGAAGCTCAGGGAGGGCAAAAATGCCACCCCCCGCTATGGTGCAGGAGGCCAATTAGGCCATGACCACCATGGCCACACCCATCCAGCAACTGGACAGAGAACCCTTTGCTTGGGCAGGGGATTGGACTAGAACAGTGGTCCCCAACCTTTTTTGTACCAGGGACCAGTTTCACGATTATTCATTCTTTGCGGCCCGGTACAAAATGATCCACGGACCGGTACTGGCATCAGCATGCATGACCAAGGCAAGGCGAGCCGAGCAACCGGCCAGCCAGCCGTCCCCCGCTTCTTCCCGCCACCTTCAACTCCTCCTTTGTACCTTCTCGCAGTCAATGGGCTTTTCGGGCTCTTTCTTAATCTCCTCCTGAGTAACGCGAGACTCCACCGCCATCAGGACGGCTCTTCGTTTGAAGCCGCCCCCTTCAATGAAACTAAGGCGCGAGGATTCCTTCAGCACCCAAACGCCGCTTTCCAACCGACGACTGACAAGCTCACCCGGAAGCACTTTCTCAAGCGCCGTCGAAACAAGATGGCAGCGCCCAAGCAAAGTAGGCCCTACTTTCATTCTTTGCGGCCCGGTACAAAATGATCCACGGACCGGTACCGGTCCGGGGCCCGGTGTTTGGGGACCCCTGGATTAGAAGACCTCCAGGGTCCCTTCCAGCACTATGATTCTATGTATATGATTCTATCTATTTTACTTTGCTCCAGGAAATCCCTGAATGTTTTAGTCAAGAAAGCCCACTGCAGTTTTTGTGTGGCAGATATTCCTTAGCAGCTTAGTATTAATAACATGTGTTTAACAGGAAGAATATTCCCAGTTCAAAATTCAACACAAGCCTGCCCCCCTCCTTTTTTGGTAATTATT